AGGGCAAGAACTATGACAGAAGAAGCAAGTGTCAGAGGAAATGAGGTCAGGGCAGGGTCAAGGAAGGGTCGTTGGTATGAGATTAGCGGGTAGGTGAACACTTACCCCGCATCCACTCCAGGACAACACAGCATCACGGACCTGCCCAGCTGCCCATACTGGACCCCTGTGGAAGGCATTCCTGGGGTGAAGCACTTCTTTTAAACTCCCCTCCCATTTATGAGACTGGTAAGGGTAAGGAGCAGGCTGCTAAGCCCTGGGTGGGGTCACTGTGTCAAAATATTAAGTTATACTTGCAAGCCAGAGAAGGGACCCAGGCTGTCAGAAATGGTGTGTGTGTGTGTGTGTGTGTGTGAGGGGGGTTGTCTAAATTAGGCCACAGGAATGGGCCAGAGCGAGAACAGTAAGTCTCCTAAGGTAGTCACAGGGTGACATTTTCTTACCTGGAGGACCCCAGGCTTGGGGGCAGGGGGAGGAGGACGACACCAGGGCTGTAGCCACGGCCACCAGGACCCTGCTCAGCCCCGAGCAGCTGCTGCTCATCTGTGGAGAAAAGGAGGGCTTAGGAGTTCCCCATCCATGAGCTGCATCGAGAGAAACGAAGCTATTGGAAATGACTGAGGATCCTAACCTGAAGTCCCCTTTCCCACCAAATGCCCAGTGCTGTATAGATTTGTCCTTGTGTGTGTACAAGTATGCACACGGGAGCACACACACACAAACACAAAGTTCATCTCAGTTCTGGGCTTAAGGCCCAGAACAAAAGCCAGCGGCAACAGACTGTGCCAGGATTACACACGCGCGCGCGCTCACACACACACACACACACAATCACCTTTGGCGCCCACCCCTGGCACTAAGGACTGGCACCGGCTCACCCACTCCCATTAACCCGTGCAGTCCAGCTGCTGGGAATTCTGGCTTTCACCCCCAAGCTGACCAAGGCTAATTACTGCCTCTGGCCAACACACAGCAATGAGAAAAGACTTCATCACTCTAAGATAAAGAGCTGACAAGACGGGTCCAAATGCACCCATAATCGCAACAGGAGGCCTAGCCCTGCTCTGGCTGCCAAGCCTCTGGCCTGAGTCTGGCTTCTTACTCCAGTACTTGGGCCACTCCGATGGGCCTGGCTTGAAATCTTGTTGGTCTCAGCCTGTGGGGCTGGATCCAGCTAGGGTGCCGGCTGGGGCTGCAGAGTTAAGCGGATCCAGATGCCCTGGCTGCTGCCAGAGGCAGAGAAACGGGCCAGGAGCCAGCAGATGGAGATGGAGTCGGGGTGGCGGAGAAGCAAGGGGAGCTGGGAGCCTACAGCAGCAGGCGCCTGGTGTGGGGGCCACAGCACCAAGCAGGGGTTAAAAGAGCAGTGTTTAGGACCTAAGGCAATGGTGGTAGAGGCCAGTGTGCAAAAGTCTGCAGTGGGGGCAGCAGAAACGCAGTCTGAGAAATGTCCATATAGAGGAGTGGGGTGCTGGGAGGAAGGACTCTGGGCTGGAGGTGAGCAGCAGACTGAAGGCAGTAACGACGGGGTACCAGAAGACACCTCCAGAGTAGAACTGAATAAGGCCTCCAAATATCTGTGTCACCCTGAATGTCTTATTGACCCACCCCCAGGGTCCCCAGTCCCATTTACCCCGTGTAGCCACACCCTACCTCGATAATCACAGTGGCTGAGTGTCCATGGCCTCCAAGACTTCCTCCTACAGCCTCCAGCACTGTTTCCTCTCCACTCAGTCCTGGGACCCCAGAACCATCCCCTCCTTCCCATTCCCTGCCCCGCCCCCTCTGGGCTTTGAGCTTAGCCACCCCTAGCCAGGCCCCCTCCTCCCACCCCTTCCTCTTCCCTCCTCTCTCCTTCCCTCCCACCCCAGGGCCTGGGAAGGGAAAATGCCTCCCCCCTCAAGCTGGAGAAGGAAGCCAGAGACACAGCCAGGACCAAGGGAGAGAGGAGGGCTGGCTGCTTATGCTTCTATCCCTGTCGCTAGAAGATTAACTGTGTTTTCACAGAGCCACCCAAACCATATTTACTCAGGCACTCACTAGGTACAGTGAACTAACACACAGATATTCCCTTGAACACATGTGGACACAATTAAAAAAAATTAACGCACACACACTCATTCCTATTCTTTCCATTCTCCAGCGGATGTTTCCTAAGGGCACAGCTGACTGTGTTTCCAGGGCAAAACAGGCCTCACACTGGAGAATATAAAGAAAGGCCAGAGTCCAGTTCCCCACTTCCCTGGAAGTTTGGGTCATTTCTCTTCTCTCCTTTCACCCGTTGGGCCTCAGCACCAGGAAATGCCTTTGATCCCTTGGTGCCAGATATACAAGACTCAGGGCTACAAGACTCAGACTCATATTCTTGGATACGATCACTCACAGTCACCCTGACACACTCAGACCCAGACACATTTACACATCTCAGTCTCCTCGTGGTCCCACTGACACAAAGACACACGCGTCAAAAGCGACTCCTCACCACAAGGAGCTCACAAGAACTCTTAGTGACAGATCAGCATCGTGTCAAGGTTACAAGCCCTGTGTGGCCAGGAACAAGAGCAAACAGGGAAGCCAAGCGGAGGGACACGGAGAGACGGCTTGGCGACACAGCTCGGAAAGCAGAAACGCGGAGACACCTGGGAGGAAAGCTGTAGGGAGACACAGAAAGCTCTCCGGAAAGATAATCGTGGGGGTCAGGCATGAAGCAGAAACATCAGTAGACCAGGGGGCCTAGAGATATAGCTCACTTCGGAGAGCTCGCCTCACATGCACAAAACCCAAGGTTTGATGCCCAGCACCATATAAAAACAGATGTGCCACACCTGTAATCCCAGCAATCCTGGGGCTTGGAGTCCATGTGGCCCTGTCTCAAATAGGAGCCCCCAGTGATGAGACTTATTTCTCAGCACTGCAGATGCAACCCAGGCCCTGGCTCACGCTAGGCAAGCACTTTACTGCTGAGCTGCATTCTCAAACCTCCCCCACCCCCACCCCGCAAATCTTGGGCAGGGGAAGATGGAAAGCCATGTGCACTGGGGGTGGATCTGTCTATGTTGCAGGCCCGGTAGAAAAGTCAGTCTCCCTCAACAACTGAAGTTTCCCCGGAATATAAGAACACAGCTTCACTCCCACACCGTCTAGGCGAAGACACGGGACACACTGCAGTCACAAGTCTCTTGCTCTTCCACTTCAGACGTTGCACGTTATCACACAGAAACCCAGCCATCCACTCTCACACTGGCAGACCCCACAGGGCTTCCCAAAACACATTCCCTGGTGTGGTCACAGCCTCTCTCACAAACGAAAACGCACCAAAAATTACCCACTGACTGCTGTGCCACAAGCAGACTCAGCTACAATCACACTCTCAGACGCAGCCACATTCGCTGACAGACACACCAGATGACAGCAGTTTCGGAGCCTCCACACACTGACATCGTCACACACAGACACTGCCTCGAACACACACACAGACACTCATAATCCATCAGCCACTCTCCGCCTTTCGGATCACACACCACCCTGCCCCGCCCCCTCTTGGCAGGATTTGCGAGTCAACACCCGGGTCCCTGCAGGCCTCACCTTCCGCGGCAGCCGCCGCCAGCGCCCTCCACCCTCGCCCTCTGCCCCGGCCACTACTCCCTCCTGAGCTGGGCTCCCGCAAGTCGGGGCGGCTCCTCCAGGCGCCAATAGAACGAGAGAGGTGAAGAGAGGGGGCTCTCGGCCCATTGGAGCCTCCAACTGCCAATCACTTCCACCTCCTCCGGACACTTCCTGTCCCGTCTGGAACTTGAGAGAGTACCAGAGTAGGATTCCTAGGACAAAACCTGAAGCTGCATTCCTTATACCTCTCGTGAAGGCCTGTCCTCCCCGGGACTGCAGGCCTGAAGGTGCTCAGGCTCTTCCCCTCCCAGCCGTCCACGCAGCCTCAGGTCCTTTACTGAACCACTGGGCAGCTGACTGCGTTTGTTGAAGGTGCCCCTGACTTCAGATAAGATAGGAAACGGAGGGTTGGTTTAGTTCTCAAACGTTGTCGAGTATCGTACCTTTAAAATAGTCAGGTCCCATTCCATGCCAGCTAAATCACAATCTCTGCTTGTTGCAACCAGACCCCAGTACTGTTTTTAGAACTCCTCAGGCGATCCCAAATACAGGCAAGGTTGGGGGTTTTTATGTATGCCCTAAGAAACCAGCTAACTATCCGGGGAGTGTCAAGGGAGATGCCTACTTTGATTTCCCAGACCTTCCCAGTACTCCCAATCCCAGGCACCCTTCATTTCTCCAAGGTCTCAGGAGGAAGGGCCCTAGGTTAGAAGGCAGGAAAAGGAAGCCAGGGTTCTTCTAGGTCAGCCGTCACTTGTCCAGGTTTTATGTGCGGACTTCTCATCCCTACAACCCAGTTCCCATGGGAAACAAAGGAAGAAAGGCATTCTAGCCTCCCTGACGTCACTCACAACTCTCAACCTTGCCTTAGAATCTGGAGAACACCGTGTTACATCTGGTGTCATAAACTGAAAAGCCTTTGTTCCTCCACTATCACAAGGAGGAAAAAAAAAAAAAAAAAAAACAGATCCAGAAAGGAGAGGGCAGTCTCTGGGGCTATCCTGGCGTCCTCTCCATGCCTGAGAAGCTACTGTTTTATCAGCACAGCTGAAGCCACATAAACTGCACATAGAGGCTTGAGGAAGCCAAGAACACCAAGCCACATGCACACTCCCAACCCGCCCCTTTAGCCCCTGTGGTCTGGAGCAGAGTCTAGCTGTGGCCACTCACAAAACCAGGGTTCTGGCCAGCAGCCCAGCGTCTGGACTGACCTCTGGGACTAGGATTCTGTTCACCCTCTCCCCACCAAGCTTTGAGGCCCAGGCTTGGTGAGCTGACAGTAATAAACTCGGTGATACGAAGGACACTGGCCTTCCCGAAGACTCTGCAAAGCTAAGAGCATGGGATTTTAAAATACTCTCCAAAATTAGAATGATGTTTATATCACAAGAGGATCAGATACAATAGTGAATATTCTTCAGAGATCGGAGGTACAATATTTTCCCCCCAAAAAAACTAAGCATTGAACACAGAGCCTCACATATACCAGAGAAATACCCTATCACTAAGCTATTTCTCAAGACAGTCTCTCTAAGCTACCCAGGCTTGCCTTGAATTTGCAGTCCTCCTGCCTCAGCCTCCTGGGTAGCTGGGATTGCAGCCCTGCACCACTAGGCCCAGCTTGGCTTTGGTTTCAGAGATTAGGTGTTGCTAGGCAACCCACGCTGGCTTCAAACTCACAGTCCTACTTCAGTCTCTAAGGTGGTGGAATTACAGGTGTGCACCATCCCTCTGGCTTGGGAGGGAATTCTTGCATCAAATCTTTCTGGCCTACATTGTCAACACCTGTAGGCAGGAAAGAGTGTGTTTGGAGTCACACTTAGCCTTGCCCCTAGCCTCCAGTATGTAAGAGTTCACACTCCTCTGGTGTCAGAAAACATGGCTGAAATCTGAGATGTAGTTTTATTGATGTCACAGCTGCCCAAACTCCAGGTCCCAGTTCTCTCGGGCAGAAAGATTAAAGGCTCTGCTGTCATCACAAGTCAAGCCGTGGTTGCTGTTTCCTTGTCTTTCTTTGCCAGGCGATAATGTACCTCAGGGAGCGCCCTTAATCTTTCTGCAGCCTAGAAGGGGACAAGGAGAAAACACGGAGAGTAAGGGTCCCCCAGAATGGTATGGGGCTCTGGGCCCCAGAATTACTGAGGAGTGCTTATGGTATTGAAAGACTGGTAACAAGGACAGCTGAAGTCACAGGAGATGGGGTTGAGCAGCAACCGAGTTCTTAGGAATACCTGTGTTTTCTATGAGGACCCCCAGAATCATGACTGTTGAGGTCCCTTGAGAAAACTGAGGTGAAAGGGGCTATGAAGACCCAGGATGCTGAGCCCTGACCTGTTCAGGAGTTAGGTCCCGCTGAGCCTGGGCAAGCATTTCATAGCCGACCATGAACTTGCGCACAGTAGCAGAACGTAGCAGTGGGGGGTAGTAATGCGCATGCAGCTGCCAGTGCTCATAGGTGGCTCCCGTCTTTAATCCCGTGGGAGCCCCTGGCAAGAGAAAGAGAGAGATGATCCGGAAGGCTCTTTTTCAAGTCTTCAATCTGGTCCCTCTCCTAAAGTAGGCCAGGTACCTAAATACTACAGTTCCCAGTATTTTCCACCAGGGAACAATTTCATCAAATGACTCCACCCTCAGTCCCAGCACCCCTGCTCTGGATATGTCCACCAAATGTTTTAATGCCTGGTAGGGATGCAGTTCCCTAAGCCAGGACCTAGAAACCCAGAAATAGTACTGGGGCTACCCCACCACCAAAAGCCTTACCATGCCAGCCCATGGAGTAAGGAAAAGACGTCTCAAATAGGTTGTCATATTTGGTCAAGAGCGTCTTCATGATGGAAGCTAGATCTGGAATCAGAGCCTGGTTTTCAACCTGGAAATAGGTGCTGGACCCATTAGGGTCCGTCTATTCAGCACCCAGTCCCAGGGTCCTATGTGGGATCCTTACCATCACGTTCAGCAGGGGTCAGCTCAGGCAGCCGCTGCACATGCCGCCGGGGCAGCAGTAGAGTCTGGAAAGGCCACACTGCCCAGAAGGGGACCAGGACGAGCCAATGCTCACTGGATAGGACCAAGCGTTCCTGGACACACAGAATGGAAATGGGGCGTACATGTAAGAGGGGGAAGGGGAGAAGTATCAGGAAGGCAAAAGGGGAGGATCTGATTGCGTCTCTCCACTTTCGCCACCACCCTCGTCTACCTTCCCGTAGGTGACTGCAGGAAGTCCATCCCCCTTCTGTGCACTTAGACAGTCAAAGGGCTAGAGACTCCTTGGGAACACAGGGCCTGGAGCTCCCCCACCTTCCTGAGGAGCTCTTGGTGGCCATATTCCAACAACAGAGGCTTTCCATGCTGGGTGTGAAAGCTCTGCTGAGATCGCTCTTCAAGCTGGGCAACATCTGGCAGGAAGCTGCTGGCCCAGACCTGTCAAGGGGCAAGAGCAAAGAAGGGCAAGCGAGTCCGTTAGCGCTAAGCCTCCACATTGCTAATGCATTCCTTTTGATCCGTCCCTTAATCTAGTTCTGTCCACAATGTCGGCATGGAGACTCGGCCAAGAAAGCCATTGCCAGCCCTGACATACTGACCTGGCAGTGGGGGTGGGGGTTAGAACAGCCCATCATGGCTCCTTTGTTTTCAAAGATCTATTGGGTATGAGTAGAGAGGGTTAATAGTCGAAGAGACATCAAGTCAACCCGCTCCTGACTACACCCGGTGGAAGCAGTAATGGTACTCCCCCCAAACCAAAGTTCTACCTCCCCCTCACAGACCTGCACCCAAGGGTACTGGGCACCCAGCTCCTCTGTGACTGAGGCCCAGGCATCGACGACAGCTCGGATCTCAGGGACAGACATGAGTGGCAGCGTCACATCCGACCAGGGGTGGAAGCACATGACTTTACTACATGGGGAGGGGAGACGGGAAGACAGAGAGATAGGGGTTGGTTGGTCCAAGTCCAGGTCTTAGTCTTTGACCCTGGGCTGGAGGTTGTAAACGGGGCAATCCATAGTTACCAAACTCCTCTGGCGGCCTCTGCACGGAAAAGAGGATGGTCACTGGGTCCTGAGATAAAGGAGCATTACTCTCTGCAGCACAGGTTCCCCCGAGAGAGACAGTCTCCCTTGTTCCCAACACTGGTTAGATTGACGGTACCTGGATCCGGAGCATTGGGCTGCAGAGCTGGGAAGTCATTGTCAAACAGGAAGGTGCCATCGTAGAGTGGATTCACCTACTGACAAGAAGAGGCTAGAAATACTACCACCTGGCGGGCTTCAAGGGCTACACAAGCTGCTAGGGGGCGAGGAAGGCCCACTCTAGGGATCAAAATTGCTTGACGGGATATGACCCAAAAAGAGGCGCACTGCTCCCTCTTGTGGATGAAGGGCAGCAATAAGAGAGAACGATTTCCTCCTATCTCACTTTGTGGCTGTGCATTCGTGCTTACCTCCCCGTTGGCTCGTGTGGCCCCGGGACACAGCGGGTTGAGTGGGTCATGGCGAGGCACTGTCTCCAGAGGCTGGGGCTCCACTTGTCCTTGCCAGGGCCGCTTCATGCGATGGGCCGACACTAACACCCACTCGTCCTGGAGCGGATTGTAGCGAATATGCTGGTGTTCTGGGGACGGTCAGGTAAGATCAGTTAGTAAAGCTCCCTGTCTCCCTCTTCTTCCCTGAAGGGCTCTAACGCCCTAGCAGACCCAAGCTCAGGGGCGCTCGCTGGGCGAAGTGTTTCTAAAGGCTGACGGAGGGGCGTTAAAGGGTTAAACCCTTGCAGTGCCACATGGCCGCAAGCCCTTCCTTCCCTCGGCCGGCCGGCCACCCTGGCTTCGGGTGGGAGTGCCGACCTTGACGCTGGGACCAGAACGTCCTACGGAATAGGTAGGCTCGGCTACTTGCCGCAGCGGGTCCAGACCGCCCCGCAATTACCGCTCGCCCGGAAGGTCACTGCCATGGCGTCCGCCTCCGACGCCTGCTGGCGCTGCTCAGGATCAGCTCCGTTTTGCGACATTAGGCCACCCGAAATGACCTGAATTCAGACAGGATTGTCCACTAGGCCAGGAGCACCCTCCGTTTGCTCTTTTTCTTGCCCCGCCCTCCCTAGATGATTGGCTAGCCGCCAACATGTGACGGGGTCCGCCTGACACTTAGGGGCGGGGCTCAGGACCGCCACACAGCTCTCCAAGTGGTTTTAATGAGACCCCCTTCTCATCGGGTAGGAGCCTCTTCTCTGGAAAGTGTCTGTGAAAAACTGGTTGCTGTACCCATTCGTCTGGCCATGAATTCAGCAAATATTTACTGAGGGGGAAGGGAAATTTTCACACACGAATGTAATGACTTTTGGTCACCCACTGGAACTTTTCCCAGTAAGCCTCCCTACTTTCATTTCTCTTTCTTTCTTTCTTTCTTTCTTTCTTTTATTTATTTTATTATTATCATTATTTGGTCTTTTGTGACCCACTGAAATTAGTTAGGGTTGCTTGCCTGAGCACAGAGGAGGGTATTTATTGGAGCATGGACTACGTATCAGCTACACCACTACTCCCGCCAGCAACCTTTAACTGCCAATAGCCCCTCAAGGAGGGTGGAGCCTCACGAGTCCTTCCCCCATCCCCCATCCAGTACGAAATGGTGATGGGCCAAATCTCGGATTTTGTGCAGGTAACCACAGCTGCAGAGAGTGCGATGGCCCAGTCATGTCAAGAAGACATTGCTTTTACCAAACATCTGTTTTTCACCACAGCCACTCAGCAGGTGACCCAGGTCTTTGTGAGTCCAGAATGCTACTGTTCTTTGCCCAAGGGCATCTCTATGCTCTACATAGAACCTAGGTGTCTGATATATGGTTAAAATGTTTAGTAAAGCTGGGCCGTGGTGATCCTAACACTCTGGAGGCAGAGGCAGGTGGATCTTTGTGAGTTCAAGGCCAGCCTGGTCTACAGATCAGGTTAGGGTAGAAGGGACTTCATACTTACAGATGAAGCCTGGCCCTTCAGTATTGCCTGGAGGTGGGAGTACTTCATTGTAACAATACTTCCATCCTCATCTGCAGTCTCGGTTTTTAAAAAAAAAAAGCTAAGTAATGGAGCGTGTGGTGGTGTACACCTCTCTCTAATCCCAGCCCTCTGGAGACAGACACAATAAGCTTACAAGTTCAAGTTCAGCCTGCACAGTTCTACACAGCAAGACCCAATCTATAAATAAATAACAAGAAAGTGAAATATATATATATATACATATATATATATATATACATATGCATATGCCAGGCCCAGTGTTGTGTTTGCCTATAGTCTCAACTACTCTAGAAGCTGAGTCAGAAGATCATTTGAGCCCACGAGTTCTAGACCATCCTGGCCAATATAGTGAAGTCAGTCTCAAAAACAAACAAAAGCCCAGACAAGGAGGTACACACTGGCGTTTGGAAGGCAGAGGCAGGTGGATCTCTCTGAGTAACCTGGTCTACAAAGAGGGTGCTAGGCAGCCAAAACTACTTAAAAGAGACCCTGTCTCAGACAATCAAATAAAGGGGGGAATAAATAAATATAAAAGAGTCTATATTTTAAAAATCTCTTTTTATGATTTGTTTATCTTACTTTATGTGTGTGAGTGTTTTGCTAGCATTTATATCTGTGCATCCTGGAACTGAAGACAGAGGTGAGCCACCATACGGGTGCTGGGAATTGAACCCAGATCCTCTACAAGAACAACAAATGCCTTAACTATTGAGCCATCTCTCAGGACCCCCAGAGGTGTTTTCTATAGAAAATTTGATTTTATTTGAAGGGAACTTTTTTTTTGAGTTGTTTTCATTTCTTGGGAGACAGGGTCCTATATTTTCCAGACTAGCCTTGAACTCTCGGTGTGAAAGCATGAATTTGAACCCCTAATCTCCCTGCTTTCCACCCCTGACTACTGGTATTCTAGGTATGTCTCACTATTCCATCTCTGCAGGCTATGCAGAGGCAGGCATACTGGCAGCTGAGCTGCAAGCATTGGGACATTGGTGTTGACCTCTGCCCTAGAATCCTAGGTCTGGAATCTGAAGAGACCATTAGGTAGAGGGCAGAGGGCATGGACTGCAATATGAGTTTTACCAGGCCAGAGGCTGCTCAAAGTACATCAGAGGATGAGGACAGGAAGAGGGAACACGCTCTCTACCCCTTTAGCTGTCTCTCAGTGACTAGACTGAGGCATTGCATTTACTCAGGAAGAGCGATGCTTCCGTGTCACTCCCTAGATCACGCCAACTGACTCCTGCCACTGTCAGGAACATCTTCATGCCTCTTCTGTATCTTTCCAGACCCCTCTTGTGGGGGAAGAGGAGGATGGTCTAGATAGGGCCTATCTGGTCCTCTCTCTCCCAGAACCCAAATATAGGATCTCTGCTGTGACATGAGGAGAAAGTGGCTGTCATTCTCATCCCCTAGTTCCTTCCTGGAGTCACGCAATGGCATGGTGTTTTCTTTTCTTTCTTTTTTTAAAAAATATTTATTATGTATACAATATTCTGTCTGTGTGTATGCCTGCAGGCCAGAAGAGGGCACCAGACCCCATTACGGATGGCTCGGAGCCACCACGTGGTTGCTGGGAATTGAACTCAGGACCTTTGGAAGAGCAGGCAATGCTCTTAATCTGAGTCATCTCTCCAGCCCTGGGTTTTCTTTTTTTATGGACCATATTGGAGGAGTTTTCAGAAAGACCAGAGAGGGAAGTTGCAGGCTGATGGTCTCAGAAAATGTTTTGGCCTGGAATGAGGACAGATGCCTGCTACAGAAGGGCCCTCTGAGCTCTGGGTATTGTTTGGCAGGGAGGTGGGAGTTGTTACAGCAGCTACAATTACTTACCCTAACTCACATAGAAAAGAGACATGTTACTATCTATAGTGCAGCTAGTGCTTGAGGCTGAGAAGATGGAATTTATTTATTTATGAGAAACCTGGTGAAGAAATATGAAAAGTGAATTAACTGGAGGGTTCTCAGTGGTCTTTGAGGATGGTCCATTTAGGAAGGACATAAAAGCCAGAGACTTCAAAACTTGTTTCCTCAGTCTTCCATTCTACACTAGATTTCTCAAAACCAAACAAAGATGCCATAATCCATCTCCCCGGCCTTTACTCTGAGCTGTACAATATTTTGCAGTGTGGACAAACCAAGGGGCAAGAGAGAACGATTTATTAGAATAACCTACAGGCTGTGGTCAGGCTCCTACAACAATGGCTGCCTACCAATGGAAGGACCAAGAATCCAGTTTAGTCCACAAGGCTGAAAGCAGGGAGCCAGTACATGCAGCCGCCATTACAAGATGGCACCTGGCTCCTGCAGGGCTGGAGTAAACAATGCCATATAAGGTCCATAGCCAGTACCACCATCTAGGGCATGCTCAGTGTCCTCAGTGTGCTGGACCTATCAGGGAGCTTGGAATGGCTGCTGAGACACTTTGACCAATAGGAGGAGTGATTTGGGAAGAATCCTCGTCTGGTGGCTGTTCTTTCCTGCTGGTCAGGGAGTTCGCCGCAGCTGAATGTCTCATCTGGTCTTCAAAATACACTGGAATCCAAAGAAGTAGGCTCTAATGCCAGTGAAGGAATGGACTTGCCATCGAGAGTGACCAAGCAGAAATGAGAGAGCAAGCTTCCTGCCTCTGTGTCTTTTATATAGGCTGCCAGTAGAAGGTGTGGTCCAGATTCACAGTTATCTTCCTATCTCAAAGATCCGGATTAGAAGTAGGTCTTCCCTCTTCAACTGATTTAATTAACAACAACAACAACAATAATAATAATAAACCCTCACAGGTGTGCCCAATCATTTGAGTTTTAGTAAATTCCACATGTAGTCAAGTTGACAGACAAGAACAGACATCATGATAGGTGTTGTGTAACAGTTTCCTCCTGGGATTAAAATGTCCCATCCCGCAGGAAGCTCCTTAAGCAGGAAGGTAAACAACTCAAACCAGTTTCAGTTTCAGGAAGTCCCTGAAACCTACCAAATTCACTAGGACCCGCCTTGCCATAGTAAGCAATAAAAGCTGGGAGTCTCTCTTAGCCAAAGTGAAGCTGAGCTGCAAAGAAAACTCTGAAGAGTAGACCAGTTTCCTGGGAGAAGCAGAAGCAGCTAAGCTGCCTGGAAGAGATTTGAACCAACTGAGTTACTTGGAAAAGATGCTCTCTAGCCTGTTGAACTATCTGCAGGCTGTGCAGTGTGCTTCAGATGCCCAGCTTTTTTGAGATGTCAACCACATTGGAGTGGGCTTTGGTGATGCAACTGTCGTTTAGTCATTTTTGCTCCTGTAAGTAACCCCAATAAAATTCACTGATTTACCAAATTGGATGTTGGTGTTTTTTGTACTTTGGTCTGCCGTGTGGGTTCCCTATCTGGGGTGAGTAGACTTGTGTTTTGTGCCTCCCCAGGAGACATTTTGTCACACAACAATAGGCCTTTTTTTAACTGGCCAAAGGTGAAAAGAAAAAAGAGGTGTGATAGAATGTCACGGTCTTTTAAATTTTATGTGTATTGGTGTTTTACCTGCATGTATGTCAGCGCACCATGTGTGTGCAGTTCCCAGCGTCGGCGCCACTGGAGTTGCGCACAGCTGTGAGCCACCATGCGCATGCTGGCCATCAAACAGGGTCCTCTGGAAGAGCAGAAGTGCTCTTAACCGCTGAGTCATCTCTCCGGCCCCAAGAGGTCACATGCTTTTAGAAACTAGACCTGGAAACGTTATGCGGTGTTTCTGCTCCCATTTGACTGTCCAGAATAAAATCGCATGGCACATGGCCCTATCTGACTATAGTGGAGATTGTTGAATGTACTCTGATTGCTCGAGAGCAAAAAGAAATGTCGCTGCAGGGCTGGGGAGATGGCTCAGCGGTTAAGAGCACTGGCTGTTCTTCCAGAGGACCCAGGTTCAATTCCCAGCATCTACATGACAGTTAACAACTGTCTGTAACTCCAGTTTCTGGGGATCTGATACCTTCACACCAATTCACATAAACTAAAGTTAAATATATATGTATATATATATATATATCCATGTTGTATACTCCTACTGAAGAATCTGATCGGCATTTCCATGTGTTTCCTGAATCCCTCCATTACATTTGACTACTGTGATCCTTCATTCCCTCACTTCTGTGTATAAGTCTAATTTCTTCTAGTTCTTTATGGTTTCTGTTGCTGTTCTTGTTGTCTCCTGTGACCTCTGCTGACTCTGTAGCTAAGGGTGACCTTGAACTTCTGATCCTTGGGCCTTTACTTCCCAAGTTCTAGGATTACGGATGTGTGCAGCCTCTCTCAGCCTTATGTTGTCTCTTTCTAACTAACACATAATCCTAACCATGTGCCAGGCACTAATCTCATCATAATAAACGTATGGGCTATGAAGCAGATACTTTGTATTCGTTTATTCTATGTTACAGATAAACCTGCCCATATATGCTCTTAAATGCTGAGACATCTGTGCAGTGCCCAGAGTTAGTTAATTTGTTTAGTGAAACAAGATCTCTCTAGGTAGCACTAACAGGTCTCTTACTTGGACCCTAGTCCAATTTTGCTCCCCTCCAAATGAAGCCCAGTACCATTCTGTGGCAAAATTGAATCCCATAGCTCCCCAGTGGATAAATTTATCGGTTTACAAGGCCTTTCGCATTTTTGTGCTTCAGAACATAGAATGAACTAACTGTAGGCTCAGAGAAAAACACTACTCTAAAGAAGCATGGTGGTGCACGCCTTTAATCTCAGCACAGGAAAGGCAGAGAGGCAGGAGGCTCCCGGTGAGTTAGAGGTCAGCCTAGTCTACACAGCGAGTTCCAGGCCAGCTAAGGCTACGTTGTGAGACCTTAACTACAAATATATCTACATACTCCTCCTCCTCCCTCTTTGACTCCTGGAAGGCTTCCCATCAGCAGCAAGAGCCCTTATCTCATAAACACTTCACGTGGCCTTTCCCAGTGGCACTATCTCCTCCCCGCTTCTATGCTAGCGATCACGAATCCTAGAAAGTTCTACTTCTGGAACAGCCAGTCCAGGTGGATCAGTCCATTCTGGGTCTCCCCGCAGCTCTCCCCCACAGAGTGTGGTGCCGGGGGACACCAAGACAGAAAACTCTAAGGCTACAGCCAGGAGGCTCGGTCCCGCCCTCTCACCTCTTGTTTGGACCGCGCCACCCAACCTATGCTCTCCCCGTTATAAAATGGTTCAATCCAGAGGGCGGTGCTAGGTGCCCCGGACGTTCCGATTGGCCCAGGCGAGCCGTACCATGGCGGCGGGGGCGACCGTGGGCAGCGGGTTTTGAGTCTGTATGTGCTTAACCTGAGGCGGTATCTGTCTCCTACGCTGGTGGTGCCAGGATGCCCGCCGGGATGCAGTGGGCCGTGGGCCGGCGGTGGATATGGATCGCCCTGTTTCTGGCTGCTGCCGCGGTGCTGATCCAGGCCTTTTGGCTATGGCTGGGTACGCAGAGCTTCGTCTTCCAGCGAGAAGAGATAGCGCAGCTTGCTCGACAGTACGCTGGTGAGCGGGTGAGGGCGGGGAGCCGGGTGGGCCGGCCTGGAGCGGCTCGGTACTGCGTTTCCCGAGGGCTCCTTCCCCTCCGAGCCCTGACCGGGGACTGGTCTCACCCACGCCACTCCTCTTTGCATCAGGACTGGACCATGAGCTGGCCTTCTCTCGGCTGATCGTGGAGCTGCGGAGGCTGCACCCAGGCCATGTGCTGCCGGATGAGGAGCTGCAGTGGGTGTTTGTGAACGCGGGCGGCTGGATGGGCGCCATGTGTCTTTTGCACGCCTCGCTGTCTGAGTACGTGCTGCTCTTCGGCACCGCCCTGGGCTCCCGTGGCCATTCGGGTCAGTGCTGGCGGTGGGCCGAGTTGGGAGGCTGGGGCTGATCGAGGGCCGATGCCATCTATTCTGAGGTTTGGCTGGGAGGTGTGTTGACTAGCATACCCTGATGGGCGGCGTCTATTTTACTGTCCCTCAGGGCGATACTGGGCTGAGATTTCTGACACCATCATCTCTGGCACCTTCCACCAATGGAGAGAGGGCACCACGAAAAGTGAGGTCTTCTACCCAGGTAAGGAAGTTCTGTCCGAGGGGGCGCCCTCTAGGCTAGGGAAAGGCCGAGAATGCGAGGAAAGGGCGTCCCGAGAAGGCCTACCCTATTATCTATCCTTCTTTCCCTCGGGTAAGCCACAGGTGTTTGGTTAGGATAGACCTGAGGAGGAACCCTGTCGCTTTCATTTGTTAAAGGGAAACAAAACAAGGCAGTTTCCCCTCCTAGGAGGCTGATTTTACACAGCCATTATTCCAGCAATTGTTTGGGAGATACTCTAATAGTTTCCCATCCTTATTTTTAACATAGTGAGACAGTTGTGGGTTTTGTAATTTTGTTGTTGTTTTTCAAATGTTTATTTACTTTTACGCTTGTGGGTGTTTTGCCTTCTTGTGTGTCTGTGCACCTCTTCAGTCAGTGCCTGGTGCTTTCAAAAGCCGGAAGAGGGCATCTGATCCCTGAGACTGGAGTTAGAAAGTGTTGTGACCCATCATGTGGGTGCTGGGTCCTCTGGAAGAGCAGCCAAGTGCCCTTAACAATGAGCCATCTCTCCAACTCCTGTTGTTTTTTTAAACGGACTTCTGCAGCATCCGTATAAAAGAAAAGGCTTGGACTTAACGGTGTAAGGCTAATCATTAAACTTTGTGATCGAACAGCTGCGTTTCTCAGAAAGCCTGGCAAGCCTTGTAGCCCCGCCCCCTGTCAAATTAGCTCATCTCAGGGGTTAACAGTATTTCTGTTTTTTATGAGTGAGACTTGGGAATGCAGATGCCCATGGCTTCTATATATTAGCCTGTAGCTGGGTGGGGTAGCCCTCTATAGTCTTGCCCAAGAGAGGACATGGGCCAGGTGGTGCCATAGGATATTTAGAAGTGGGCATTTTGTGTGTGTGTGTGTGTGTGTGTGTGTGTGTGTGTGTGTGTGTGTGTGTGTGTGTCTTCCCCCTCTGATTAGACAGCCAGGCCAATGGGGTTTTGGTTTTTGTTTTCCTTTCTCGAAACTGTCTTTTCATTCCTCACCTGTACATAGAGAGCGCATAGGCCGTGGAAAGGGCAGGGCTGGGCTCCTCACAAGGGTACTTCCTGTCTGTCCCCCAGGAGAGACAGTTGTGCACGGCCCTGGAGAGGCAACGGCTGTGGAGTGGGGACCAAACACATGGATGGTGGAGTACGGCCGGGGTGTCATCCCATCCACGTTGGCGTTTGCCCTGGCTGACACTGTCTTCAGCACCCAGGACTTCCTCACCCTCTTCTATACCCTTCGCGCCTACGCTCGGGGCCTCCGGCTCGAGCTCACCACCTACCTCTTTGGCCAAGACCCCTGACCAGCCAGGACTGAGGAAGACCTGTGGATGGACAGGAGCGGCAGGACCACACTCATCTACTTGCTGGAACTCATGTGCACCAACAGCAGCATCTACCACGCATATTAAGTTCCTGCTGTATGAGAAAGGACATACATAGTTATACATCCAGAAACAGCTCTTTGGGAGTAAATGAGACGAATAGAGATGCTAAGATTTGTATGTACTGTACGGTCATGCACTCCCATCCATCCAGAGAGGGTCCCTACATATATACCAAGGGGGCCGGTCACGTCTGAACACCTATCACAAGCTTGACTCGCTGACTCAGGCTTTTCCGGAGCTTCCTGCTGGCATTCAGGGCTCTGGGATTAAGGATTGGGGTGGATGTTACATTCTTCCTTACTCTGATGCCTCAATCCAGTAGTGATTTCGGGCGAAGGAAAAGTGGAGCTGCCCCCGGGAGGCCCCCTTCACCGGCAGCCCTGCTGTCCTTCCCTTCATCTCCCCTCCCCTCACCATATGCCTTAGCTCCATTCCACTCCCCTGCTATGCAAGTGCCCTCTGGCTTCTCCACGTCCTCAGCCACCCAGCTCGGCTGGCTGGGAAAACAGAGGAGAATGTACAGAATGCTGAAGAGAAGGTCTTCCATCTCAGAGATCCCTGTTGGGGGTGTACGGAAAATGCTGGCCTCAGCCCCGGCCTGCCCCCAAGGAGAGGGCCTGGAGAAGGAATCCTGGGTCCAAGGAGCCACCCGAGCCCAAAAAAGCCTTTAGTGTATGTGCATACCCCTCCGTTTCCAGACATTTCTGTTACATTCTCTGTCTAACTGTCTGTCTCTGTCAATAAAACTTGTTAAACAGTTCGTTTCCTTGTGTGTGTGAATATCAGGAAAGACTACAGCCTTCTGGGACACTTGAAGAAGGCCTCCTGCAGTCCGGTCTGCAGGGCTTGTTCTGGACAGAAGGGACTATATATTTGAATGTGTTTTAAGAATTACCTAGGAGCCGGGCGGTGGTGGCGCACGCCTTTAATCCCAGCACTGGGGGGGGGGGGGGAACGACAGAGGCAGGCGGATCTCTGAGTTCGAGACCAGCCTGGTTTACAAGAGTTAGTTCCAGGACAGGCTCCAAAACTACAGAGAAACACTGTCTCGAAAAACCAAAAAAAAAAGAAAAAAAAATTACCTAGGAGTCAGCCTTTGTAGACGTGGGTGGTGTTGGAGTAAGGTCTTACTATACTATACAGCCTTGGCCTCCTGGAACTCAGAGATCTGCCTGCCATTGCCTTCTGAGTGCTGGGGCTAAAAGTGAGCACCACCATATGCAGCTTTTATTTTTTTTAAGCCCAAGATGTGTTGAATTTACTATATGAAGTTGAAATCCTGACCCTCCTGCCTCTCCTTTCTAGGGCTGAGGATTAAGGCCAGAGAACTTTGTGCATACTAGGCTAGCGTTGTACTGACCACAACACTAGAGGGCCCTGAGTCTCCTGCTGGCTGGGTTGCATCTATAGAGAACAGTTTTGGAATATGAGGAATTGAATCGTGTGAGGTGTGACTACTACTCTTGTCAGTTCAGTTCTGAGGATGATCCTGAGAACTTAACCATACATGGCCATGGGGTGGCACTATACTCCCACGTTTGAGTTGAAACATTCTCAGCTAGCTTTTGGGGGGCTCCCAGAATACGGAATGCATCTCTACGTGGGTTCCAAATACTTCCTTGTGTGCTTGTGCGTGCGTGCGTGTGTGTGTGTGTGTGTGTGTGTGTGTGTGTGTGTGTACAGTGCTGAAGGTTGAACCCAGGGCCTCAAGTACACTAGGCAAATTCTATACCACTGAGTTGCACCAGTAAGTCTGCATGTCAGGAGAGATGTGTGTGTTCATGCATGCATATGAGTGCAGGTGTGGGTGTGCATTCGTGTGTGTGTGCACGCGCGTGCGTGTTATGTGTAAGCCAGAGATCTACTCAGAGCGTCTTCTTCAGTCATTCTCTACCCTATATTTTGAGACAAGGCCTCTCACTGAGCCTGGAGCTCATCAACTCAGCCAGACCATGGGTCAGAAAGTCCCAGGAATCTTCCTGTCTGCCTCCCGGGCTGGGACCACTGACAAGTGCCATAACTCTTGGTTTTTCATATAGGTTCTGGGGAATGAACTCAGGTCTTCATGCTTCTGCAGTAAGCTCTCATCTAACTTTATCTCCCCAGCTTATCCCAATCTGAGAACATTTTTTGACACCTTGTCCTTCAAGAGACAAAGCCTACCGGCTGGGGAGCTGACTTCATGGTTGAATGCTTCCTACTCTTGAAGGGGATCTGAGTTGTTCTCAGCACCCACACCAGGTGGTTTTCTGTGGCTCCAAAGGGAACTGATGCCCTCTTCAGGACTCAGAGGGCACCTGCATGATTGCAGTAAGCAGACATACACGCACACGAAATACTCTTACACTTTATAAGTTAAATCAAAAATTTAAAAGGAAGCAGCAGCAGATATGAATGCTGATATTCAGCTTTTTTATTCAGTCTGGAGCCCCAGGTCATGGAATGGCACCCAAAACCAGTCTATTAACCGCTTTCTGGAAGAGCCCTCATTAACACACTCAGAGGTATGTTTCCATGGTGATTCTGAACTCCCCTAGTGGCTATGCAGGTGCTGGGAATCCACCCTGGGTCCTCTGCGGGAGTGGAAGTGCTCTCAACAGCTGAGCCTTCTTCTCCCTAGCTAAGCTTCTCCTCTCTACCTCTTGACTGAGGATACAGTGTGACCAGCTGCCTCACATTCCTGCCCTAACAACATACCTGCCACAATGGACCAGGGTAGCCAAACTAACCCTCCCTTGGGTTGCTTTTGTTGGGTATTGTGCCACAGTAACCCGGAAAATAACTAACAAAAACCTCACACAGCAGCTGGAGAGATGTCTGGAGAGGTAAGAGCACTGACTGCTCTTCCAGGGGACCCAGGTTCCATTCCCAGCATTCACATGGTGGCTCATAACCATCTACAACTCCGGTTCCAGGGGATCTGGTGACCTCTTTGGCCTCTTCTAGATACTAGGCATGTATGTGGTGCATAAATGGGCATGCAGGCAGAACACGCACATAAAATAATTTTAAAACCTCATAAGCAAGGACACACACACACACACACACAGAACCATTCTTGAATCTCTGTTCACAAAAATATGAGAAAATAAGCATTTTTTTGTTTCGAGTTTCTAAGCTAGGGAGAATGATAATTTGCTAAATGCCAAGTGAGTGACTACCAACACACTCCTTCCTTTCCTATTCCCAAAATTCAAGAAGTAATTTTTCCCTTCCTGATACTGGGGCTTTAGCCTAGAACCTTAGGCGTGGTGGCCACATACCCTACCATTGAACTACAATTCTAGTTTTCTTACTTTTTATCTTGAAACAGACCCCCACCAGGTTGCTCAGGCTGACTTTGGTTTTGTTTGTTTGTTTTTTACATTGTTTTTATTGAGCTATATGTATTTTTTCTCTACTCCCCTCCTTTCTTTCCCCTCCCCTTTTACACTCTCCTATGATCCCCATGCTCCAAATTTACTCAGGAGATCTTGTCTTTTTCTACTTCCCATGTAGATTAGATCCACATATGTCTCTCGTAGGGTCCTCATTGTTGTCTAGGTTCTCTGGGATTGTGAATTGTAGGCTGGTTTTCTTTGCTTTATGTTTAAAAACCATTTATGAGTGAGTACATATTATATTTGTCTTTCTGGGACTGGGTTACCTCACTTAACGTGATGTTTTCTAGATCTTTCCATTTGCCCGCAAATTTGAAGATGCCATTTTTTTCTGCTGTGTAATACTCCATTGTGTAAATGTACCACATTTTCCTTATCCATTTTTAGGTGGAGAGGCATCTAGGTTGTTTCTAGGTTCTGGCTATGACAAACAATGCTACTGTGAACATAGTTGAGCACATGTCCTTGTAGCAAGATTGAGCATCCTTTGGGTATATACCCGAAAGTGGTATTACTGGGCCTTGAGGAAAGTTGTTTCCTAATTTTATGAGAAATCACCACACTGACATCCAAAGGGGCTGTACCAGCTTGCATTCTCACCAGCAATGCAGAAGTGTTCCCCTTTCCCCCACAACCTCTCCAGCATAAGTTGTCATCAGTGTTTTTGATCTTGGCCATTCTTACAGGTGTAAGATGGAATCTCAGAGTTGTTTTGATTTGCATTTCTCTGATGACTAAGGATGTTGAACATTTCCTTAAGTGTCTTTTCAGCCATTTTAGAGTCCTCTGTTGAGAGTTCTCTGTTTAGGTCTGTACCCCATTTTTAAAATTGAATTATTTGTTCTTTTGATGACCAATTTCTTGAGTTCTTTGTATATTTTGGATGTGGGATCTGTCTTATGTGGGGCTAGTGAAGATCTTTTTCCATTCTGTAGGCTGTTGTTTTGTCTTGTTGACCATGTCCTTTGCTTTACAGAAGCTTATCAGTTTCAGGAGGTCCCATTTATTAATTGTTTCTCTCAGGGTCTGTGCTACTGGGGTTATATTTAGGAAGTGGATCCCTGTGCCAATGCGCTCAAGTGTACTCACCACTCTTCTATGAGGTTCAGTGTGGCTGGATTTATGTTGAGGTCTTTGTCAGCACCATTTGTTGAGTATACTTTCTTTTTTCTCATATTTTTTGCTTCTTTGTCAAAAATCAAGTGTTCGTAGGTGTGTGGATTGATATCTGGGTCTTTGATTAGGTTCCATTGGTCCTCCTGTCTGTTCTTATGCCAATACCAGACTGTTTTCAGTACTGTAGCTCTGTAGTAGAGTTTGAAGTCAGGGATTGTGATGTCTCCAGAAGTTCCTTTATTGTACAGAATTATTTTGGCTATTCTGGTTCTTTTGGTTTTCCACATGAAGCTGAGTATTGTTCTTTCAAGGTCTGTGAATAATTTTGCTGGGCATTGTATTGAATCTGTAGATTGCTTCTGGTAAGATTGTCCGGTTGACTTTGAACTCACTCTGTTGCTCAGTCAGGCCTTTGTCTTGGTGATCCTTCTGCCTCAGCCTCTCAAGTAGCTGGGATTACATGTCTGTGCCCACCAGACCCAGGTACAATTACGTACTGCCATCTGACCCAGTATGTATTTCCTCTACTGGAGTGATACCATGTCTCAGTGACGCTGTCTTAGTTGGGCCTGTGCCCAACAGTACCTACCATAGCACTTAACAAATGTGTGTTGGTTTCTGAAGGTCTAGGTCATTTTTCCTGTCTCTGAGGAATGGAAAACCTGTATGTGGTGGGGGAAGACGCAGCCTTTCCTTTAAAACCAGATCCCAGGGACTGGAGAGATGGCTCAGAGGTTAAGAGCTTTGCCTGCTCTTCCAAAGGTCCTGAGTTCAATTGCCAGCAACCACATGGTGGCTCACAACCATCTGTAATGGGGTCTGGTGCCCTCCCCTCTGTGTGGCATACACACAGACAGAATGTTGTATACATAATAAATAAATAATAACTTTAAAAAATAAAATAAATAAAACCAGATCCCAGTAGCCTTATTTCTCTCTTTCACTCCTTCCTAGTTGTAGCTTTTCTGGTCCAGGTCCCAAAGGTGGGTTCATTTCATTTGACTCATATTTGGAGGTGAGGGAGATGCCTACTTCTGTGCCCCCTCCCATCAAGACCCACAAAAAGTCATCTCCAGCATCTCAGAACTGGAGTTTCCCCAAACCAGTACCTACTTTCCCAGGGAATCTTAACATCCTTATTTTCAGACACCTCTAAGCAGGCAGCAGAACCTAGAAAAGAAAGGAGCAAGCTGGACTCCAGAGTTCGGTACACACATCTCTACCCTTTACCCTCCAGTCATCCACAGCACCCCCGGACATGACCATCTGCCCCTACGCATGCACTAATCCCACTAATGTACCCCTTTGTGAGCCTAGCACAGTGGGGCATGAGAGTTCTGCAGGAGAGAATGCATCCTCAGACATCCACGCGCATGGGGTGAGGAGATCTCACTACGGAAGATGAGTGGGTCATCACGGATTGTGGGGTTGGAAGGGGATTGGGACTGGCTATGCGATCTGATATGAGAGAGGAAAGACACAGAGCCCCAGCACGGCCGAGAGCAAGCACTTGGTGCTACAATAGGAGCTGGATTTCAAACAAGGTGGATGCTAGAGGCAGGCAATCATGGGTGGCACCAGAATGGGGGGTCTGAGGCTAGGGCAAGCTGATTCTAAGAGGAGATAGCCAACTGGAGGAGACTGAGGAAGGAGGAAGGTCATGACAGGTTCCAGCCATGTAGGCTTGTCTGTCCTGAGGCATATGTGCTCCACTGAGTGTGAAGTCCGAGGATAGGGTTTGGTGAAGTGGCATAGCCATTCAGGTGTCGTCATTTGCTGCTCACCCAGTTTATGGCGATCTCATGCCTTGGCAGGTAGGTCTCTTTGGCCACGGAAAAGCAACTCAGAATATATGAGGGTACCTGAGAGGAATAGGCTCAGACAGGCTGCTCAGAGGAGAAACTGTGACCTGCCAGTCAGGACTCCCCAATCAGAGAACTGGTGGGGTAGGATAGGCACAGGGCAGTTGGCTCAAGGGGTCTGGACACACAGATTTGGAAGTCAGGGACACCTGAGTGGAGAAGGTGTGTGAAGATAGGCAAGCTGCTGATCGCTGGTATAAACAATGAGAAGTCAAGAGTCATTATAGTCTTCTCTCTTCCATGCATGCTTGGGAATCCTTGGGAGAATGTCGAATGATATTTTTAAAAAGAGAAGTGTCTATGCCTGTTTATCTCCTATGGAGTGTATATTCTAGTGTGGGTATGCAGGCAACCCAGAGACCTCTGAGTGTGTAAGGGCACAGACATAGGGCCACTGGCCTGTGCATACCTGTACACAAACTGGCACACTCTTGCACTTGGCGATGGCACGTGAGCAAGGCGCGAGGCGAAGCTCTGTTCTGGCCAGGTTTTCCACATTCACCCCAACATCCTGCAGAGTGATTTCATGGGATCACAGTTTGCCCAGGCCCTTGATCCCTCTAGTGACCTTTAAACGGGATGTGTAAGGTTGGGCCTGAACTTGTGACAAGATGTGTTAATGTGTGAACGGAGGGCACTGATTGTGGATTTGGGGGACCACTTGGGAGGCTGGGCGGGGCTATGGGTCGGAGTTTATTAGCTGTGGACTCCTCACTCTCCCATGCGTGATTTCCCCATAGCTCTCCGGCGCCCCCTCCCTTGAGTCTGGCAGTAAGGAAGGTGGGAGACACCTGTTGGGGGGCTAAGAGGGGCTGAGCCCACCCTGGTCTCTCCCGCAGAGCCCTCCCGCCAGCGCCCGCCCTGCTGGACTCGGGTCCCGCCCCCGGGAACGCAGGCAGCCGAGCGACCGCCAGTGAACGCACCGCGGTCAGAAGAGCGCAAGGCGGCAGGAGCGCACAGCGGGGGACCCTGCGCAGGGAACCCAGAAAGACAGGAGCCGCCCGAAAGGCGGTGGGACAGAGGGGCCGTGGAGACACCGGGGGCTTCGGGCGGTGCCAGGCAGGTGAGTGTAGCTGCAGAGCGACCAGAGCCCGGGATCCAGACGCAGTGACCCGCAGCCTCATGCCCGTCTGGTACTGTTCCTGTCCCAGACCCAGCCACTGCTGCCCTCTTTCTGTACCTCTTCGATTTTTGATTCTCATCTTCTACCTCCTATCCCGTTTTTCCGTCAGTGTCCTCTATTTTCTGACTCTTTCTAGTCTTTTCTCTCTCCTTTTGCGTCGGTCTTCCCGCGTCTCTCTCAACCCATCTTACTGTCTCTTTTCAGCTCTCTGTCTCTCCCTCTTTCTTTGGTATTTTATCTCCTCTCTCTCCCCCACTTCTCTCTCTCTCTCTCTCTCTCTCTCTCTCTCTCTCTCTCTCTCTCTCTCTCCCTCCCTCCCTCCCTCCCTCCCTCTATCCCTCCCTTTCCTCCTTGGTTCTCCTCAGCCTCTGTTTCCCCACGGATCTCTCCTCAAGTCTCTGTCTTCGTATCTCCCTGTCGTTGTGTCTGTGTGTGTGTGTGTGTGTGTGTGTGTGTGTGTTCCATCTCTCTGCACCACTCTTCCTTGGTTCCTGTTACTCTTTCCAATTTGCTTGGCCTCTTCCTATCCTCAGTCTCTGACCATGTCTGACTCCCTAGGTCTGGCCTCTTGTCCCTTTGCTCCCTCTATCCCTCTGTCTCTGTTCACTTGGATCTATTTGCCCTTTCCTTAGAGCTCCATGTATGCCCCTGAATCCATGCGCATCTACCCTTTTGTAGTAGGGTGTGGGTACAGCGAGGCCCAGTACTCATAATTCCCTTCCCCACAGACGGCCCTTTCCTCAGGGCCCCGCCTGGTACCAGGAACCCCCCCAGCAGGGGGACTGCGCCTGGAAGCTGTAATGGAGGCCCTGCAGAGGCAGCAGGCAGCTCGGCTGGCCCAAGGGGTGGGGCCTTTGGCCCCTCCACGCCTACCGCTTCCACAGCCTCCCCTGCTTAGCGCCCGGACCCTACAGGCTGAGGGGGCTTTAGGGGTGGTTAGGGCTGACGAAGAGGAGGATGCTGAAGAAGATGAGGAGGGAGAGGCACCCTTAGCAGAAGAGGAGGCAGCGGAGGAGAGCCATCCAGAAGCCCGGTGTCCCAACTCACCTTCCAACCAGCCCCCTGGACTCCAACCACATGAGTGGACCTATGAGGAACAGTTCAAGCAGGTAGGAACCCTCTCTCCATCACTGCCAGGCTGTCCCTCCTTCCTCCCCACTGACAAAAGCGGTCCACACATTCCTACCAGCCTCTGCAGGATGTAAAACAGAGACCCAGAGAGAGAGAAGACTGGAGGATGGATAGTGATGAGTCAGGAGAGACACCCATGGAAACATGGGGAAAGTGCACAGAATTCATTAAGAGGTATAGAGACCCCAGAAACATGGGAACTGACCCTTGGAGGCCATTGATGAGTCTGAAATGGAGGCAGAGTGGGTGTGAGGGCCTTTGAGGGAGTGAGACCTGGAGTCTGATGAACCCACGGCAACACGACCCTAGCTACCCTCTCATAACAAATGACAAGGACCAGACGGAGAGTCTTACACTGTCCACTGTCTTTGGACGGAGGATAGAGGTTGCTTCTCCTTTTCGCAGGCTGGTATGCCCATCCTCTTTCCTGCCACACTGCTTTGCCATCCAGTTTTTTCCCCCTAGCCTAAATTCCCGGGTGTCAGCTCCCAGCTTGTGCTGGTCACTTCAGCTGCAGTGTAACGGAGGCCCCTGTGCAGAATGGGCACTACAGGTCTTTATGTACACGACCTTTTCCGAACCCTTCCGGTGTTATTCTAGAGATAGTAGGCCAGGCTGTCACCAACGTTACTCAGGGCTGTGGTTTCCAGGTGTGCCATTCTCGTGGTGTTACTCATAGGGGGTTGGTTTGGTGTATTTTCTTGTGCTGGTGTTCTGTGGCATTAGTGTAAAACCGTGAGTGTCACTCAGGACCTTATTACCCTGGAGATTTCCAGTGGCTGTTTCTTTAGGGCTTTGTTCTGGGCTTATGACTGAGGAAGTGTGGGTGTCATTGTAGGTCCCATGTGAGACTTAGAACTCTGGGTAATGTGTGTGTGGCCCAAAGCTATGTCTCTGGGGTTTGATACTTATGGGAAGGTTTTACTTGGAGAGTTGTTATTGGGGGATAGAATGTTACTGCCCGTGCTACTCACAGCCAGCGGAGGCTGAGACAATGTTTCTCTGGACCAATGGCTCCATTTCTCCAGAACTGTTCGTTTTAGACTTGGGAGGTGATGTTGGAGGTGGTGGTGACCAGTAGATTCTGTATGTTCTGACATCTTAGATTCGTGTGTCAGTGCCTGTATGATGACTTCTATGGTAGACATAGTAACCACCTCTGGAAGGGGATCAGACAAGATGGCGTCTATAATGATCTTCCCTTCCTGCCTGAACTCACCCTAATTTATATCCTGGCCCACAAGGATATACATGATGTCCTTATACAGATTAAGAGGAATGAATAAATGCTTCAGATACTCATCAGTCTTCTGGGTGTGGCGCTTAGCCCCAGCCTGGCTTCCCTCCTGAGACTCCAAATGTCCATCCTCAGGATGGTCGAGACTCTGTTATGAAAAGCAGACCGAGCCACTGAAGTGCCTTCCTGTTCCATCCCCACCCCCATATTTGTCAGATGCAAGGTTTGAGCCACCTAGGGTACCACTAGCTAGGACAGGTCTCTCGAATATATTAGATTCAGGCACCCTGCCTGCACCTGGGAGTGGGTCTGAGGCCAGAGAGTTCACATTCAGGTTCCATTCACCCTTTCACCAAGAACTCTTGTCCAGGGTACCACCTGAGTTGGGGTTCCAGGAGGGAGGGGCCAGTGGATGTGGAGAATGACCTTGGTCCTTCCTCAGCTGTATGAACTCGATGCGGACCCCAAGAGGAAGGAATTTCTGGATGACCTGTTTAGCTTCATGCAGAAGAGAGGTGAGTAAAGTGTTGGGGGGGCACCCTGGAAGATCTCAAGGTGTAGTCCGCAGGTGAGGTCCTCCCTGCAGAGCCCTGAGGTTGGTGGTGCCTGTCCTTTGGGCTCTCGATAGCATCCTTAACCTCTGACCCTGCCTCCCTTCTCCACCAGGGATTAATTAGTGCCCAGCCCATAGGCAGGTTAATGAGTGTGAGATCAATTAGGAAGGGGGGAGAGCTGGTTGGGACTGAATTGAGAGAGGAGGGTCCCAGTACTTAGGACCAACCAGAATCCTTGGTTGTATACAGTAAACCCTCCCCAGCCTTCTCTACTCCATTTCCCTTTGCTTTAGCCAGGACACTCCCTACCTGTTCTGCAGCAGGAAGGACTAGGATTAGACTGAAGGAAGGCTTTCCAGAAGGATGACCTGAGGCCATATGAATTGGGCAACAGAGAAGGAATTGCTCTCCAGAAAACCTCAGTGCTGAAAGAACACAGAAGGGGTTCAGGAGGGATGAGGGTGGGCAGCAGTCCATCACTTCCGCCTCTCCCCAGATTCATGGGACTGAACACTGACTCATTATCTCTCTCTCCAAAGCTAATTAACTCACTCAGAAAGCAGCCTGATAAGCCACTAATTAACTGTCCGCACTGCCCCCCTCCAGTACATCTTCTGGCCCAAGTCTTCCCAGTCCCCAGCCCAGCACTCAGCAACATTTTCTGGTCCCTTCCTTCCTAAGAGCCCCGTGTGAGGACCCCAGGCTTTCTTGCTCCCCAAGGACACTTGGTCGTGGTAGTCTTAGTGTTCCCTCTCTGCACCCTTCGGGGGACCTTCTCTCCTGGTAACGGAGTGGTATGGTCTGACCGCTGCTGCCCACACCCCAGGCCCTGCCTCCCTCTGCTCGGCTGCAGGGGGAGGAGGTCTCGCGGGGCCGATAATTTCCCCCCATTAATCAGGCCGCAGCTAATTGTTCGGGTCCAAAGGCGCTGGTGGAAGGGGCCAGGGATCGGTAAGGAATTAACTGGGGCCCATCGCTCAGCTCAGACAGGCCCCTTTGTCAGGACCGGCTGGCGGGGGTGGCTAGGCTGAGGAGGTGGCTGGCCCAGGCAGGAGCTGATTCTGCTGCAGCTGCTGTCCCCTGGCTTCCTGCAGCCTCCCAGGGTTGCTGCTTTGGGGAATATAGCTCTTGAGCACAGACGGAAGTTCTTCCTACAGTCTGCCCAGCAAACTGAACTAGTTTTCAGGCCGAATCTGTCAGTCTGGTAGATTCGAATGGCTTTTCGTGTTTCTACGTATTTAGAAAATAGACTTAAAAGAAGTAAAACATTTTCAGGCTGTGAGATTCTAATTTCAGAGCCTGTGAATAAAAGTTTCATTGGAGCACGGCCATGCCCCTCCTCTTAGATATCTTCTAAGGCTGTTCTGGGGATACAGCTGCAGAGTTAGGTGTCTGTGACAGGCACCCTTTGGCCCACAAAGTCTAAATATTTACCTTCGAGCCCTTTCAGGACAACTGAGCTGATTTCTTGTCTTAGTTTCCTGTCCTTCCTCCTACCCCTCCTTTTAGTCCTTACCCAAGCCTCATGGAGATGACCTTCAGTCCCCTGAGATGACCTCAGACGAGGCCTAATCTTGGTGTTCTGATTTTCTACCCACTTCACACCAGGGACGCCAGTGAACCGGGTGCCCATCATGGCCAAACAGGTGTTGGACCTGTACGCGTTGTTTCGCCTAGTGACAGCCAAGGGTGGCCTGGTAGAAGTCATCAACAGAAAAGTGTGGAGAGAGGTCACACGCGGCCTCAGTTTGCCAACCACCATCACCTCTGCCGCCTTCACGCTACGCACCCAGTGAGGACAGCAGAGGGCATGGGCCCTGGGGCAAAACAAGAGGGGCTGGGGAGGGGCGGGGGGGAGTGAAGAGCGGGGCGGGGAAGGGACGATCCGCCCGGGTCCAGCCTCCCACCGCCCATCCGTCCGCCCTTAGGTACATGAAGTATTTGTACCCATATGAGTGCGAGACACGGGCACTCAGTTCCCCAGGGGAGCTCCAGGCTGCCATAGACAGCAATCGCCGTGAGGGCCGTCGCCAGGCTTACACCGCGGTCCCGCTCTTCAGCTTAGCAGGACAGACACCTCGGGGAGCTCCTGGCCCCGCCTCGGGTCATGGCCCCGCCCCGGCCGCGATCCCGAGCTGCCCCGGTCCTGCCAAGGGTTCTGCTACAGGCTTGCCTGCCCACGCGTGCGCTAAACTGAGCCCGAGCCCTGTAAAGAAAGGTGCGAGGGGAGGGGGCGGAGTTTGGGAAATGGCGTCTCTGAGATCTATGCAAGCACCGAAACAGAGGGAATATCAAAATATAGGGACTCAGATGTGAGAAGCATTGCGATATGAGAGCAGCAAGATCTGATGGGGCTAGGTTTTGGAATCTCTAAGTTAGTGATTCTGAGCCTTGAGGTCAAGAAAGTCGTGAAACCCGTGGGGTCTGAAGCTCAAGAGAAGGTTCTTCATGGCAGCTTTATTCCACAGCTGTCCACATGGGGTCCCATTTGGATGTAGTTTGCTACCCCCGTAACTTGGGTTATTTAAGGACAAAGAACAAGGAGAGCTTGCACATTCTCTGACATAAACCAGCCTAGACCACTATGCTGGCCCTTATTCTCCACATCTTCAGAATCTCTGGATGGGAGGAGCGACTTAACCTGTTTATCAAGTGACCGCTTTTGGTCCCAGGCCTAGAGGAAAATCAAATACAAACACAGGTAGCTTGGGCCAAAGGAGCCTAGTGACTTGTTCTCCCCTCCCCCCAGAAGAAACTGGGATTCCACCCCCTCGTCCGGCACTACCTGTGGGCTTGGCCTTCGAGGCTGCACGGGAGAAGCTGGCCCCAGAAGAGCCTCCAGAGAAGAAGGCTGTGCTGATGGGCTCCGTGGACCCACCTCGACTGGGGGCACCCCCCAGTTTTCTGCCTCGTGGCAAAGTTCCTCTAAGGGGTGAGGAAGGGCTTGTTAGTGAAGGGTTTTGGGCTTGTATACTGAGGGAAGATAGACTTCACTTGATGGATGTTGGAGGTGGTACAGACAGATCCTCCTATAGACAGCCACATTGTTATGGTAAGGGATTCAAGTGAAATGGGGGCTATCCGTAGGAATAAGTGCACAATCTCATTCCCCAAAATGTGACTCCCCTGCCTTCTTCTGGACAGAAGAGCGATTGGATGGACCCCTCAATCTGGCAGGCAGCGGCATCAGCAGTATCAACATGGCGCTAGAGATCAATGGGGTGGTCTACACTGGTATGGGTACTATAGGCTGTCTACACTGGCATGAAGTTGGGGTTTAGACTGGCATGGGGATTTTAGATTTTTTCTACTAGCATGAGGTTCAGGGGTATCTGAACATGCATGGGGGTTCAGAGAATTGTTCCACTAAAACAGGCTAGAGAGAATGTCTGTGTGGCATGGGGTCCCAAGCATGGTCTCTGCGGCATGGTGGCCATGGGATGTCGGCTTTGTCATGGGTCTCTGCGTTAGTATTTATTGTTTATCCACTTATGGGTATCAACATTGGCGTAGAAGCTTCTCACTGGCCAGAGGGACTTGTCCTAGGTAGTGTGTGGCAAGGGATGTTGTGGTTCTCTAAGAATCCAGACACTTTTGCACACCTTTTTGGTTTTGGGTCCCACCCTCTCCTGTTTATGTTTGCATTTTACTCTCTCTTCGCCCCTTTATCAGGTATCCTCTTTGCTCGCCGCCAGCCTGTGCCAGCTTCCTTGGGGCCAACCAATCCTGCACCTCCACCCTCCACAGGGCCCCCTTCCAGCACCTTGCCCTGAAAGCAGCTACTGAGAGCTAAGAGTCCCAGTATCACTGCAAGGGAGAGAAGGTACTCTCCCACCTTGATTCTTTCAGGCTATGGTGCCCACTCTGGGATCCAGTCCTGGGAGATGACAGCATGCCACCTCCACTCCAAAGGGATGTCTTATTATTGTTCCATCTACCTCATTGTAAAAGGACGACACCACCCCCTAGCTGATTGCAGCAGCATCTACCAAAGAGTTCTTCCCCCAGTAATCCCTCTCTCCTCATGTGAGCCCTATCCATCTATGGTACCCCACCTCTTTGAGTCAACTCTGCGCCTTTTCAGGGGGCAGGTAAAGGATTGGATTTGAATGTGAAGATGTCCCTTTGGGTCGCATCTGGAAAATAAAGTTGTACTTCCTCCATCTCTCATGCCTCCTCTTCGTACTTGGGTCTGGGAGGTGAACAGTACACAGGCTGCATTGAGCTGTCCAAATGGAAGGGAAAATGGCAGAGTCCTGTGAGAATAGAAGGGCACTTTTAAAAAAATAAAACAGGCTTTCGCTGTGTTGTCTCCCGACCGGTCTTGAGTCCACTGTGTGGAACCGGTTGGAGTCAAACTTGAAGCCATCCCCTGCTTTCTCTCCTAGTACCACCACACAGAGCACGGACTCAGATCGGACTGGTGTAAGTCCTGACGATGAGAAGCTTAGGTGCAATTCACTTGAGCCTTAAAAGATTCCAAAAATGTATGGTGTCTCTCCCGGGAAGCTGCCTTCTGACCAGTATTAGTGTGTGGCAAGGGATATATAAAGTTCTCTACAAATCCAGCCACTTCTGCTCACGTTTTTTTGTTGCGGGTGGGTATGAACCTGTCCTGGAATAGTGGGTGTATTTATACGCGCACCCTCAGGGAATGGGGTGGAAAAGACTCTGTATCCTGGAATTAGAACACTAAAAGTCTTGACAACTAGGCCCTGGAAACTAGGATAGGGCCGGGACCCAGAACGTTACCTAGGTAACCAGATTGCTTTGACAGCTGTCTGGTTACTTCCGACATCCAAAGCCTAAACGGTGACGTCAGTTCCTTTCAAGGAGCAACGGTGCTCTAGGATTGGCCAGACTTCTTCTTTGGGCGGACGTCCCACCCTCTAGCTGTTTCGGGCGGCCGAGGCCCGGCTGCAGAAGTGATGGCGGCGTTGACCGATGTGCAGCGGCTGCAGTCCCGAGTGGAGGAGCTGGAGCGCTGGGTGTACGGGCCGGGCGGGACCCGGGGCTCCAGGAAGGTGAGCGGCCCGGTCCAATGGTCCGTTTCTGGGGCAGGACAGGAGCGGGCCAGTGGTCCTGCCCTCGGGACGGATGCAGCCACTTCTGTTCCGTCGTCCGCAGCCCAGCCTTTGAAATAACAAAGATCCGGGACCTCCTGGAACGAATCGGACCCTCGGGATCCGTTCTCGAGGGGATTGGGATGAGGGACGGATACTTAAGCCTGTTTGAGATGGGCTCGGGGAGAACTTTTACTAAAACTCCACCCTTGCGCTCACAGGCGCGCGAAGGAGATTAGACAAATTCAAAAACTGATTAATGGGAGTTTCAGTAAGAGCTGAAGGCCGCAATGGAGTGTGGTTCTGGGACCCTGAGAAATTAACTGCCAAATGAATTGCACGGGAACGAGAGCCATACAGGCTGAACACAGGTGGATGAAGAAGCCTCCAGGGTTCAGAACTGAGATCTGAGTAGGCCCAGATAAGGGAGGTTAGGAACTGAGTGCTGGGTGTTCAGATGTGGGCGAACATAGTGTCTGAATTTTGACAAAAAGCTTAGGTACCCTTAAATCCCTTTTTATGATGTGGATGTCATTTATTGGAGAACGTCTGGTAGTGTCAGGGATGCTTTGGAGCTAAATACATCAAAGGCCTATGCGCTTTCTGTGCAAACATCACCAGCAGATTGTGTTCCAACTTGAGAACCAGCTTTTCAAAGCACTCTATCCTTTGGCATCTATGACCCTCCTGATTTTCCTTTCCCTCTTGTCTCCGGCTGCTAATGTCAGTGTTGTGTGTGCCCTCGTGTATTTGTTCCTTTAGTATTAGTATTCCTCACCTTCTGCAAAAACAAAAACCTTGACAACTCATCTACTTCCTCAGCCTCACCCCCTAGCTGACCACTCACTGTTGGAATATTGTACTTTTGAGCCCTCTGCAGGCCCCTCCGCTTCCATAGGTCCAGTTGCCCCTCTCATGCCGTCATGTCTCCAGTGTGTATCTCTGTGCTCATGATTTAGCTAAGCTTATTTGTGATGCAAGATTTAGACCCCTTAGCCGGGGCGGTGGTGGCGCACGCCTTTAATCCCAGCACTTGGGAGGCAGAGGCAGGTGGATCTCTGTGAGTTCGAGACCAGCCTGGTCTACAAGAGCTAGTTCCAGGACAGGCTCCAAAACCACAGAGAAACCCTGTCTCGAAAAAGCAAAAAAAAAAAAAAAAAAAAAAAAAATTTAGACCCCTTGGGATAGAATGTTTATTAAAACATTTGTCATGTGTTCCTTGCTTAATATTGCTTATGTTGTTTGTAATTTTATACTTGATATCTGTTCCTATTGAATATAGTTTTGTATTGGGTTTGGATCGCTCTTGTTTAGACAAAAGGGGGAGATGAAGGAGAAAACCTTGTTAGCCAATTATCTTTAAGAGGTGGATCTAAGGGCTGGAGAGATGGCTCAGAGGTTAAGAGCATTGCCTGCTCTTCCAAAAGGTCCTGAGTTCAATTCCCAGCAACCACATGGTGGCTCACAACCATTTGTAATGGGGTCTGGTGCCTCTTCTGGCCTGCAGGCATACACACAGAATATTGTATACATAATAAATAAATAAATATTAAAAAAAGAGGTGGATCTAAATTAAGGCGTGGCTTCCCGGACCGAGAGAGAAATGCAGTCACTCCCAGGGGCGCTCTCTCTCTGGGTGATCCCCATGGGACACAGCGGAACTTGGATTTCTTGTTTCCTGTTCTGTGAGTTTTCCTCTTATAATAAGTAAAAAATATAATTGTTTTATCCCTTAGCTAGCCTGTTTATTTCTACAGAGGTTGGCCTCTAATTCACAGAGATCTGCCTGCCTCTGCCTCCGGAGTGTTGGGATTATAAAGGCATGACCCACGACATCCGGGTTCTTGTAAGTCTTAATTCAAGTGTCTAACTTTGGAATTAACCTCCACTTCCTTTCAGGTGGCTGACGGTCTGGTCAAGGTGCAGGTGGCTTTAGGGAACATTGCCAGCAAGAGGGAGAGGGTGAAGATTCTCTACAAAAAGAGTAAGTACTTCTGTTAGGCGTCCATCCAGTTGTTCTGCCTCCCTGCCCTTCAGCCCGCCTGTCACTAGAACAGCCCCTCGAGAACGGAAGGCACATGACTGCTGATGTGGTAGGCTGGGGCGTGCTTTCTTAGGGACTAATGCCAGGCCTATGCCCGGTGTCCAGGGTTGGCAGCTGGAAGTAAGCTGTTCCACAGAGCTCTCCCCGGTGGAGAAGGGGGACAGGGTGCGGCATTTCTCTAGGCAGTGTTGGTTCAGCCAACATTTTAAATGATTATAGCTGGTAATTTTTTCAGTAACTCGGAATTAGACAAAATGCTAGCTTGTCTTGTGGCACTGAGGAGAAGGGTACCCTGGTGAAGACTAGGTCGGCGGGAATCTGGGGGGAGGAGTGCGGCAGAGCGGTGGCAGCTCTTTTGGTTTTGGCCCCAGAGCATGAGGTCAGCCCGCAGATGGTGATGCTAGGTGATTTGGGGAGTAGGGGACCCAGTGGGTGTGCTCATCTGGCACTGTGTGGCCAGCTCATAATTCAGGGATCTCCCCGAGGATTAGCCCTTCCCAAAGTTAAATATTTTTAACATTTATGTGGTATGTGTGTGTACGCGTGTGTGGTTAGAGGACAGCCTGTGGGAGTCAGTTTTCCTTTCACCATGTAGGTCCCAGGGATCAAACTCAGGTCACCAGACTTGGCAGCAGTTACCTATACCTGTTCAACCATTTTGCCTGTCTCTAAATTTCCTTTATAAACTAAAGTCCCATTTCTTTCTTTTTTTTTTTTTTTCTTTCCTGCAACTTTGCTAGTTGAAGACCTGATCAAATACCTGGATCCTGAATACATCGATCGCATCGCCATGCCTGATGCCTCAAAGTTGCAGTTCATCTTAGCAGGTGATGCTAGACTCCGTGCGCAGGCACCTGAGGGTATCAGCTGTGGAGGAGCCCGCAATGATGCAGTGATGTCATCCCTCTTCCATGCTACCATACATATAGCCTGCCAGCTACCTTCTTTTTTTTTTTTTTTTTTTTTTTTTTTTTATTCGAGACAGGGTTTCTCTGTAGCTATGGAGCCTATCCTGGCACTAGCTCTTGTAGACCAGGCTGGCCTCGAACTCACAGAGATCAGCCTGCCTCTGCCTCCCGAGTGCTGGGATTAAAGGCATGCGCCACCACCGCCCGGCTTCCAACTACCTTCTTGAACACGGGCCTTGCTCTAGGCTGAGGCCCACGGTGATCCTGCGAGTTTGTAGTCAACGCTGGGCATGGTGTCACCTCTGGGCCTGCAGTGCTACTTCAGTATCCTCTCAAAGGCCCTTCTAGGACTTTCTCCTTTATGATCCTAGTCCCTGCTTTGGGAACCTGAGACATAATGGCTGTATATACATTCAGGACTGGAGGGAGGAGGGGCAGCTCCTGCTGAGGGGGCTGTCAGAGTTCTCAGAAGGCTCCTAGATCCAGTGCCATGGCTCAGACACCCAGTTCCAGGAGTCTTCCCGCTTCCCCACCACTTCCTGTGCCCTGGTCCCCTCCCCTGGGTGTTCATTCCTATCCCGCCCGGCCTTTCCTGGGTGCCCCTGCCTGACCCATCCTGAGCCTAAGAGCATCTCAGACTCTACAAATCCCCGCACCCAAGTTTCAACCCAGATCCTTCTTCTCCAAGCTCCTACTGACCACTTAGCAAGGACTCCAGGAAAGATCTGAAAGAGGAGACACGCAGCAGACCGTGTGGGGCAAGTTCTGCTCATGGGCCCTCAGAGCTGAGACGGACTGGGAGGGGCCAGGGCAGAGAGAGGCAGAATCTGGGCTCTTCCATAGAGCAGAAGCTCGAGAGCGAGGCTGTCATGTGCAAATGATTGACACGTGGACAATGGCCGTCTGTCTCCTCCGTCACCTTCTCGTCCTTTCTGCACGCTGTCCCAACTTCACAAGCATTTCCATCATGTCACAGGCCTGCTTATGAGCCCCAGTGTCGGCTTCTCCTTGCTAGGATAAGACCCTCGCAC